GTGTGTGTGTGTGTGTGTGTGTGTGTGTGTGTGTGTGTGTGTGTGTGCTATGCAGGAAAAGTGACAAAGGGTAGCTGAGGCATTCGAATCATGCTCAGAGCCGGCAGATCAATACCACATTGTCCTTGGAGGCAAACATTGGGCCTGCTCATTTGTGAACTTGCTCAAGCACATCATTAATCCAGGTGCACTTTGTTTTTTTCCACCTCTTCATCCTCTCTCCACATACACAAATACATGACCCCCCCCCCACCCTGCCCCTCACCTACATGTGTCAACAGAAACTGTCACTCGTGGCAGCACTCTGTGCCAGTTCTAGAACTCTGGGATTTGGTAGAAGAAAGGTTGTGGGAATGAACATCTGCATAACAATGTCAGCGTCTGGTTCGTCTGCTCACAATGTCAGCCATTCCATACATAGCCTGAGAGGAGATTTGTGAATTATTAAAGGGGTCTTCTCTTGAATGCTTGAGGAAGTTTCCAACTGTGGACTAAATTACTGCTCACCTTGTTATTAACTTGACTCTACATGTGCTGGAGTTGATATAGACATTGGTAGAGAGCTGGGGGAGAAAATCCACATTCCTAAAATGGAACAGGAAGAACAAGGCGTGATGATGCCTTTACATGAGAAGCCTTGTTCATATAATATAATCTGACTCCACATGAACTGTTTAATTGTCTGTTGTGAATAATAAATCCTAAGAAGTGGAATGTGTCTGATATCATCCTCTTGAGTCTTACAGCAGTACTACTTAACCCAGCGCTAACAAACAAAAGGACAAAAAGTGAAGAGGAGGGGGTAGAGAAGTGCAAATAAAAAGAAGAGTAAAGAGGCGGAAGGTTCAGATGACAGGATTATTTACCGAGAATAACTGGACAGAGATGGATATCGTGCTCTGGCTCCTCAAATCCTTCTGGAATGAACCAACCCACCAGAGCTTTTGGCCTGTAAGGCTTGACCAAACCCACAATATACACTCAAATCTTGTTCTCCTTCTATAGGCCTCTTTATCCTTATAGTCACACAGACGGAGGAAGAAAGGATATTCCATCTCCGCTCGGATGTCATCCAGGCGATGGGAGAGTTCGATAGAGTCCTCCTCCTTATTCTCATTGAACACCTTCAGCTGGATGTCTAGCTCCTCCGTCTCTTTTAGCTCCTAGAATGAGTTAAGACATACAGTACAGAGCTGAAAATATGAAGTTACACAAAAGGTCATCTTGCAATGCAGATTATGATAAGCAGCAGTAGCACCTGCAAGGAATAACTTAGACACAGCTTTTAAGAATGTATCACTCTCGTGTTGGTGTTGTGGAACGCTGTTGAAACTCGCATGTGTAACTGTTAAACAGGCCTCTTGTAAAAGAACTGGAATACTAGAATATCAGTTTTCCGGTTCCAGCTGTAGGCCTGTGAACCGAGACACCCTGAACCCTCTCACTAGGTATTCCACACAGTACCCATTGCTGCACACCTGTTCCAGCCACGAGGGGCTACGGCCGTGCTCTTTACCACCTCTCTATGAATCACCGGCAGTGGAGTTTACAGACGGAGACAGGGCCAAATGTAACCCAATTTCTGCAGGTATCAATCAACCTGCACTGTTTTTTTGTTTTTTTTCCGGGTGCACCATCTGTCTTGTGCAACAGAGGATCAGAGGGAGGTGCACAATGCCACGAAATAGGGGGGAAGGAGAAGGGGAGGGCCAAATACACGTGTCAAGGACTATAAGAACAAAACAAATTGTGCCCTTTTTTTCATCGCAGTTCACTTTCTCTTTGCCAACAGCTACACCGACTCCTGAGCATAACTCATAATTACATGGACGAGCGTCAGCTTGAATGTGGGCATTAAAAGCGGTGAACGTGGCATTCATAAATGACTGTACACTGAGACTCTTTCATATCGTGGGGCAGGACTGAAAGATAATTAAAGTAATGAGAGTAATAATCAACGGGAGCAGCTGGGATGACTTATTAACAACTGGCTCGGTGAAACGTTCACCCCGCTCGCTACAAATGAGAGCTTGAGTGATGAGTTGGAGCTCGTTTGCCTTCGCCTCATGTGAAGATGTGTAGGCCTGCTGATAATGATGCCAGGACGACCTGTGTGATGAGGTGCTGGCACTGCGTCACACTTGACAGAAGCCTCTACTACTAATTATACCACTACTACTACCAAATGCATTAATAATAATTAAGGCTATTCTTATATATGTCACTTGTGTCATGTCACACCTGGATTATTTAGTTTGAAGCCTGATTGTTTTTTGAAACACAATACATAAATATCACATGCATATTAAAGTCCTTGCATGAGCCATCTGTTAATTACGGTCGAAGAAATTGTGTTACTTCCAAGGTTGGGCACTTAAGCAGCATACATGCAAGCTGTAATGTGTTATGCTGTAAGGCTTTGATTCTGCTTGGTGGACTCAGAATGTATTCAAAGAGCCAGAGGTAAGACAAGGTGCATGGTTCTAACAGAATAACCACAGCAATACTGTGTTGTGCTAATGACCAGGATTTTGACAGAACTGGCTGAATTCACTGGTTGAATTCACTGATTGACACTGGGGGAAAAAAAGTTATATTTGGGCCACAATCTCTTTCACGAAGTCGGGACCAGAACTTGATTTTTCAGGCGAGTGAATAATCGAACCAAACGTGCTGTGAGATAGCTTGATAACTCACAGGAAGGATCTTCTTGAGGCCGCATCTTAAAAACTCATTGCGTAGATGGATCCGGAAGTCCAGGTCATCGGGGGAGGTGACCAGGGCATTGATCAGCTGCATGCAAGCAACCTGTGGAGTACACAGACACAGAAAGAAAAGAAAGAAATAACAAATGAGAAATGAGACTCAAAAAGAGATTTTTCTTGCAAAACATATCAATATAAGATCTCTTTTGAAAACTAAAGAAAGGGGATTGCACCGAAGAGGGGAGAAAAGGAGAGAGAGCGAAAGCACACGCCGGGTGTGTCTCCATGTGCATTATTAATGGATTTATTGGTAAGGAAAAAGCCTCGGTGTGTGTGTGTGTGTGTGTGTGTGTGTGTGTGTGTGTGTGTGTGTGCGCGCGTGCATTGGATGGAGGAGGGAGTTAAGAGGAAATCACTGGTGAATTATAATGAGCAGTAAGGTGTTTCAGGGGAGCTAGCCATGGATAAGACAGTTTTCCATGGACAGACAATCGATAGCAGGCTGAAGGATTCCCATGGACGCCATGTGAAAAATCCTCTCCTGAAACCTTGACCCTGTACTGTTGGCTCGTATCTGTTATTAATAAGATCCATAACAATGCTGGTTCTGTGTGGTTTCCTGGATCAGTTTGATAGTTTTCTGGGTCAACATTTTTTAAACCTCTCAACCTACAAATGCAGATCCTCTTATGTCATGTCATCTGCATATAAGCTATTAAATACTTGCTTTTCACTCATTGTCTTGCTTTGCCCCTTAAACACTTTAAAACAGTTATTATTTTTACTGTAATATATCATTAGCGCATCAATCATATGTATCAGTTATTTGAGTTTTTGTTTGCTGAAAGGCAGAACAAAAGCTACCTGAAATGCTTGTTGTTATGCAATAATGATTTACGGTATGATACTGCATATTCCTTTGGGAAAGCACATACTTGTGGCAGTAAAGGATGCACCACCACCACTGACTATGCTGCACCAGTGCCTGGCAGCAGAGCACTTCTGCATGTTCCACGAAAGCGTGAGAGCCTCTCTGCAAGAACCCGACATTTTACCGTATCCACCAGAGGCCAGATCCAAGAAACTCCACCAAATCTTCACAGAATCCATGCAAGTGAAGAAAGCCATGGAGCTCATGAAAAATTCTTTCTCTTCAGAGGTTGATGCTCACATCAAACATGCCTCAGTCATGGACTGGGAAGCGGTTGTGTTGTGGGTGGGGGCATTATCTGCGTTAGGTTTAGAGAGCTGCAGTGGTGCCATAGGGGGGGGGCTCCAAACATCGTCATTAAAAGTGGCACTGCTGGGACGGTTTTTAAGTTGAAATGCTGAGTTTCTCTCGTGCTCAGCGACAAGTATAACCGGAACTATGGGAAAACACATTTTAATCACATTAGCTAAGTCTACTTATACAGCCCATCACAGGTTTTGGATAAAAAGTCTATTAATTTCCTTGAACCCCCTGCATCAGCAAAGCATTTTAATTTACTTCACAATTAGCAGAGCTTCATGTCATTAACCGCAAAATTTAAAGGAAAGACAACAACCTCCTAATAAAAGAATATCTACTTTCACTTCCACCACCCGCCTCATCAGTTTCCTTCATGACTTTTCCTTCATGACTTCACAATCCCTGCCGTTAAAAAAGTAATTTCTGAAGTAATTCCCTGCTTTTGGTTTCACAAAAGCATGTTTTAAGCGGCGTTTTTTTTTTTTTAAATCGCTGTTGTATAGTCTTTCCTGCTGCTGCAGAAAACTAGTGAAGACAAAGAGCGGTATGGTGCTTTAGTTGCCCTTTCACATCGAGTCCTCTGAGACCCAACCTGACAGCAGCATGGGAAAAAAAGCAAGGGAGTATTTGTAAGATGTGAGAAAACATGAGCAAGATAGTGAGAGGAGGAGAAAATGTGGGACAGAGACAAGGAAGACAAAAAGCTGAGAGGAATTCAACATATCTGCTTTTTTAATATATTTTTTCTTAAAATTCAGTAGAGGTTCACAAAGAAGCAGGTGTTTTTGATTAAAGCAGTGGGGATGGGGCTCCTGGTGCATTTCAATAGCCCAATGATCACATCCCATCATGTGCAAGAGGTGTAGAGGGGTTGACAAGTGCACCCAAAGACAGTAAGAGAAGCAGAGAAAGAAAAACGCATGTATGAGGACGGCTGAGGCAAAACTGTCACTTGCAGTCCCGCCCAGCATCAAACGGCGTCTTATTCAGGACAAAACAGAATTTGTGTCGATGAAAATGGACTGAGCCGACTGTCCACTGTTCACAGCTCCTGCTCTTGCTAATACGTTGCTTGCTTCTCTTTAGGTTCGGGTAGTATGAATCAGTGTGTATGACTATTAGAGGCATCCTGAAATGGATACTGTAGTACAGAACACAGTATTTAAAGTGCTATAGAGAAACAGTGGTAACTGTAATGGCTACTGAACTACAAGGGTTACTTTTATCCTTTAAAAGAAATAACGTAGTAAAAAAGCAGCTATGAATGCATGATGAATAGTTGTGTTCACTTCTTTTTCCTAACCTGGAGCTGCTGGGCTTCGTGGTTCTCCAGTCCTTCCACAATTGGAGCAAATCTCTCTTTATTGTTCCTCTCCGCAGCTATTGTCATGGCGGCTAGAATCTTATCCAGGCTGGAAGAAAAAAGGGAACAGGGAGAAGGCACGACACAAAAGTCAACAAACACTTTATCACCTCACTGACAGAACATTTACTCACAATTTTCATCTCAAACGCCAGGTGTCTTATCTTCCCTTGTGTGTTGGTATGGACATTTGCTCGGCCAGTCTTTGGTCACCCTGACAAATGCTACCGCTTTCCTTCTCTTTGATTGCAACCCAGTCTATTATTGCCGCAGTATCCAATTTTGACCTCATCATGCTTGTTGCTAAGGTGATGCTGGACAAAGACGGGGTTTTACTGCAAATGTTCAGTCTTCAAAGCAATTGCGGTAGAGTGTGCTTAGCTGGGTGAAAAGGGGTGCAAATTATAGCAGGGACCAGACTAATGTGCAAATACAGCTATTGAGAAGGTAAGCAAATTGAGCACTTGCAAGGGCTCAAGGCAGCTCATCTAAATAGCACGTTGGACCATTTCAGCCTCTAAATGTGAATGAAAGAGAAATTCTGTGCTGCATGTACAAACACACACACACAGGCCGCAATTTCAGTAAATTGATGTCGTATGAGCACTTGTGTAAACACTGATTTACAATATGCTGACATAATAATTGGCTACTCTCTCTGTCACTGCAAGGCCACATTTGCTGTTTCGCCTTCATCAATTGCAAAAATGAAGAGCTTAATCCGCTGCCATCACCCTTCTTACTCCCGTTGGTACGAAAAGAGCTCTTATGCTGATGTAGAAGTTCGTTGATCCAATAAATGAATTAAGAAAGAAATAAACGGTCGCTCTAGCTGTCAGCTGTTGGGATGAACCAATGTATGCACGCGCAAAAGTGTGCTCACACAAGCCACCGAGGCTCGCCGTTGCCATTTGTATTACCTTGTATCAACCCCACAAAAAAAATAACACTATCAGGATGACAAAATACGAGAGGACTGTATGTGTGGAGTTGGCTTGACAAAGAGATGAATGGAACGGCCATGCTCTGTGATAGAGGTTACAAAGTCACAGACAAGCATGGGGAGCTGCATACCGAGTAGCGTTAAAGCCAGTTCAGACGACGCTTCAAAACAGGCGAGATAGATCTGCTTAACTTGTCTCGTTCCCTTTTGATGCTGTCAGCTGAAGAGGGTGTTGAACATGAGCCAGCGTCACAACATTGGTTGGCAGAGAAGTTTCTGAGCGAGAAAGTGACGCCTCAGCTCCTTTGGCTGTCATTTCTACAGGATGGGTACATTTTAATGCAGGGCTGTGATCATGGCAACCATTTGGATGTTTACTTCAAACTATTCTTGAATACTTTGAGAACGGTGGGAGAGGGACAGGGTGAGAGGTACTTGTACTATCTATGCACCACGTATCTACTTAAATATATGTGTGTGTGTGTGTGTGTGTGTGTGTGTGTGTGTGTGTGTGTGTGTGTGTGT